AAATCTCAACTCTAATTTGGTTCTTCTCCTCTAAACAAAATCCCTGCTACGGCTATGTATCTAATATAATACAAATCAGTTTTCTAACGAGAAAATCAATTCTACAACAGAAAAAACATTCCTAGCTATTTCTTCAAACAGCGGAGTTATTATATGACAATTAAAATTGGATTTCGAGTTATATACTTCGTGGTGCGCGAATAAAGTCATATAAATAATTATTTTATTTTCCATTGAATTTTATGTGCACTATCGTTCACAGTTATTAGATAATATTATAAAATGTAATGTAATAACGCGTATGAAAAGCAGTATATATACGGCAGATAAGATAATCCTTACCGGATAACGCCTCGTCGCTGCAAGACGTGGCAAACTCCATACGATCGGGTGTCCTGCAACCGATGTCCAATCTACGTACACTACCGTGGTGGCACTGGCTTGGGAATGCTGTCGAGGGTACTCTCCCGTCGTGCACCTCCGCTGCGTTAGCAACGTTCTGCTCGCCGTCGACGGCCAATACGCTTTCAACGTTGTCGGCGTTCGGTGGCCGAAACAACGACACGATCTCGTAGCGACCGAGATTGGGGCATTGCCTGGTCATCGGATCGGATGCTGAAAACGCGTAAAGCTCATTTAATTTTCGTATGATATCATTATCTTAATTAAATCATGCTCTAGCAATTTCAACTGGCACAATTTTTTAAAATTAATCTCGATAATATTTGATGAAATAACGTGTCAAATAGAGCGACGAATTATAAACAAACTGTCCGTTTCTCATGTGTGAAGAACAGCCATTAACTTTCACGCGATCCTCCGGTGACAAGCGACAGAGGATCGCTGCTTGCATTGTAGTGTAACTTTTAGCCGAGCAATTTGATATGCGATCGACACGCAGTCGACGCGTTCCACACGGTAAGATGAACGCGTTCTACTTTGTTCTTATAGGAAATTAGTGCAACACGATCCACGTCGAAGTGAGAAGCCGCTGTTTATTACGTTCATCGTCAAAATGTTGAATCTCTCGGGACGATCCATTCAAGAAATTCTATGCGAAAGATTCGTTTTTATATACGAATCTTTTTACTACTGTTTATTATATTTATATTAATCACTATATACGGCCAGGACTAAAAGCCTTGAAAATTACTTTATAATGAGCTTTTCCAACTAACAGTAACTTTTCCGCTGAGTAGTAGAGATAGGGGCATAGTGCATTTACAAAATAATGTCATTATTTAAATAATATCATCGTTTACTAAATAATTAAATAATTAATATAACATTACTCATATATATTATATAGATGTAAATGTTAATAGATATAAACTGTGCATTTCCTGATCTTACAATTAGCGTCTGTGCTTCGTTAGAAAGAATTGAATCTCTCAGCATCTTTCTTCAATTCGATACTTGAGAGAAAAAGAGATAAATTTAGTTTTCTTCTAGGGCAAGCCCTATAAAATAAAAATAAGCAAAGAAAAAGAAAGTACAATGGAAAGAATATACAAAAATATGCAAAGTTTAACAAGAGCAATACAGCATAAATAATACATGAAGAACAAAAGTATGCGGAAATATACAAATTTGTGTAAGATAGAATTGAAATGATTAAATAAAATAGTAGTAATAAAAAATGTTTAAAATCATATAAAGTACAGCAATGATAACGTATGGAATAACAGAATTGAGAAAAAATAAAAACAATAAACTAAAATGGCAGGAAGAAAAAGAATGATGACGCAGCGAGAGAGAGAGAGAGAGAGAGAGAGAGAGAGAATATTGTTAAAGTAATAAAAATATTATTAAAGTATTAAAGCTTTCTAAACCGATAGTGACAACTTCATATAAGAATGCGTAATTTATTCTTATTACGTCTAATGTATAATATTCATTAAAAGATTTATTTAAATTTAAATAATTTTTTACATCGATTAAAAAGTGTTAAAGTTACGAAAATGAGTTAAAATTAAGATGAGAGATATTCTGCTTGCATAATAAAAACAAAATTATATTTAAAATATGTCTTAAAATTAATAAACAGATAAATATGCGGGATATACGTGGAAAGAACGAGTTTGCTAAAATATTAAAAAATTTAGATACAGCTCGATACAGACCTGAAAATAATTTTGTTAACCTACAAAATAATTGTATAGAAAAACTAATTGCTAAAATGTCAAAACGCAGCATTGCTCATGCTCGAGATTTCTACATAATTATTTTGGTTGATCCAATAAATTTATTTTCTAATCTGTATCTATCTAAATTTTTAAATATTTCAGTAAAATTATACAATACTTTGCAGAAATTAATGTTTTAAAATGACACATGAGAAAGGCGTTAATATCGTAGTCTAGTTACATGCTGAAAAAGATTGAGAAATGCTATTTTCACACGGTATAACTTTTAGCTGAGTAATCTTCGGTGGTAATGCGCACGTGTATCTAAGAGTGTACCGCGACATACAAAAGAGAAGACGAGTGCGAATGTCGGTGCGATAAATTCCGCACCGACAACGCGGTGGAACAGCTCCGCTCTTCGTCGACATTGCTGGAATCGACTAAGGAGAAACTGAAAGGCGAGCAGAGTCTTACGAGAGACTTTACGATGGATCCGGCATATGATCCTTTATGCGCTCATAAACCCGCGCTTCGCGAATTGATTGTTAAACTCCACCATTCGCGAACTTCTCGCCGAATGCGCCCGCGAGCTTCTCTCGCAAGTACATAGGTACTTTCCATCACTGGGTACATGGTACAGACCCCCTTCGAAGTACCTTTCACGTACAGATTCTTGGACAGATTTAGGGTAGATTTATCCTTCGCAATAATGTCGAGGCATCAATCATTCTTGAACTACGGCATTGAAGATCTAGGAAATTTCACGAAACAGCCTTCGGGGCAAAAATAGATAACAAAACTTTATCCCTCATTTAATTTTAGATAAATTTTTCGCTTTAAAAGACTTTTAGGTTGAGGATTAGTTAGAAATATAGTAATAGAAATATAGAAATATAGAAATATAGTAATATAGCATATTAGTTTAAAAGTATTTAAAGTCGAATGTTGGAAGGTTACTAGAACTTTCGTCAAGCTTTCGCAAGAGAAAAATCGGCTCCGAATTAACCGAGGGATCTGCGTATGAAGCAAAATGCGTGGAATTGGGTACGCTTTATATACGTGGACGTTTGCTCAAAATATACGCGAATCCATATATCAGTAGAAGAGAGCTCGTAAGGTCGAGACAAATCACGAGCCCGTATGAATTGTGTGTTTGAGTGAATCGTTCGTAAGACCACCGTGTATCCCGTCGCCAGATTTACGGATCGATGTCTGAAATTGGCTTGAGAAGCTAAACAGGACGCTCTTTCGTTAGACCACGAATTACGTTTTATTCGAAAACTTCAAGACCTGGTATACGATATACGTACAATATACGATTGCAAATAGTATAATATGATATAGATATTTTCACCGGTAGAATATAATTCTCCAGGTAAGAAATCCAACGCGAATAAGTGCATCAGTACTGCAAAATTAATCGACACACTTACGTATGGCACATCCAACCTAATTCGAGTATCTATAACTTTCGCAAAAATAAAAAAAAACTAAAAAATGTTTTCAATCAAAATCAGATATTAAAGAACATAATATGGTATCAAATGTATATCTTTATTAATAGAAAAGCTATAAGCAATGGAAAAAGCAATTGAAAAAATATTGAAAAAGGAAGCTGGGTATGTCATACTCAAAATGACACTGAGGAATATGCTAATGTTTCATGTGCTTATTTAAAGTAATGGCAGAATATTTGTGGGACAGAACATTTTTGAGCAAAATATATCGAGTCTTCATTCAGTTACGCACGGATCTCTCATGATTCGCTTATCTCTAGTCAGAATAACTCGATAAGATCGAGACAAACCAGGGGACAAACGCGGGCAATGAATCGGAAGAAAAACGGAGGGTTCCTCCCATCGAATTCGAATTGGCACCAAAGCACTGGGAGGCCGACGCAAACCCGGAAATCACCTTCGAGCAAACGTTCCTGATTCTGGTTTCCGGTCGCAACGCGGAGCGCGGCCGAATTTCCAATCTACTTAATCTTGACTTACGGTGAAAAAGAAATGGGCATACTATTTCACACGATCTCATTATATCGGCGCCCTTTACGGTAATGGATCTTTCGCGAATAGTGGAGAAATTTTACGCCCATGGAACGCTCGAATACGATATTATTTCGCGCACTTTATCGCGCTTCCGTTCGCATCGAAGCGAAGGCGACATCGAGGCGAATGGAAAATTAAGAAGCCGCGAATATTAATCGAGTGATAAAATGCAGCTGACTTACTTTAAAAAGAAAGAGAGAGACAGAGAGAAAAACTGCTCTTTGACAACTTCTAAAAGAAACTGCAAGTTAATTTGCGAGCCACCTCATCGGAATATCGGCAAATTAATTTACCCTCGATTAATTACAGTTGTAATATCGACAAAGCAAAAATTCCGGGATGCATTAATGGTGGGACTGGCCGCGTTTAACTGCGTTAATTGAAACTGCAGTAACAAACATATAACACGATCCGTCAACTGAGCACTGTTAAGCGTAATCAAATTTGCGTATATTACATTCGCCGGGCTCGAGAAAGTTGACACCCCGCATTAAAGCCCAATTAGTTACTTTACTGCTGCGACGTGATATTGCGACGACGAATGCGTATAATTCGATTAGGAGATCGGAAAATTTACTTACTGATGAACGTCGTGTACGGCATCGTGTGCGAGTTGAACGTGCTCGAGTTGCATATGTCATCGGGCTGCTGGCCCCATTCCGACAGTTGCATCTCTATTACGTGTTCGTCCCTTCTATGGAACATTACGCATACGTATCCGTTCTTGCTGAAAAGGAACAAAAGCATTAGATATCAAAATAATTGAGAAAGACGTCGTAAAAGTTCAATTTGAATTTTTCACATATAGAAAGATAAACGATTTTGTTGAAACATCTGAAAGTTTCGACAAAGATACAGATCTGAAAATAATTTTGTTGGATCATTAAAATAATTATGTAAAAAATTTAAATATTGCTGCAACAAATTTTGACATTTTAGCAATCAGTTTGAACTACATAATTATTTTGATGGTCCATAAAATTATTTTCAGATCTGTATCTAATTAAATTTTTCGATATATAAAATCGTTCTTTCCATAAAAAAATTGTTTAATCCTTAGTACATACAATAATTTTCTGATCCTTTGTTATAAATCGTTTAATTTTAAATCGATCAATTTTTATCACTTAATTTATAAGTATATAAAAATTATTAAATAATCCTTACTTCAATATGACCAACCGTCTTAAATTAGAAGGAAGTCTTAAATTTTAATTCTTTATTCCACTTTACAACGTGTTTCAAATTTTGTCTCAAATTAAGAACATGATTATGAATTGTGCTTCTTTTAAGGGTGAAAATAATAAAAATATGACATAATAAATAAAAATAAGTGTAAAATATAATTTTCAACTAACATAAAAAAAATTTTATAATTTTTTATTTAAGAACTCGGATATTATTCATAAAATGCATTCAGTAGAAAAATATTAAAAAATATTAATTTTAAAAAATAAAATGTGACCTCGTAACTTGATGTAATTTTTGTTGTAATGTCATGTAATGTTATACATTAAGTGTTATTAGTTATTTATGAATATAATAATATAATATTGTTTCATGTGCTTCATTAAAAATTATTTAAAAAATGTTTATTTATTAAAAATTAATTACTATAATTAATGTTGACGTATTTTTTAATGTCCTTTTTTCCTTTTAAAGGAGTTAATCACCTTATCTTACATATAATTTAACATCTTTAGAAAGCACTTTTGAGACTTCCACAGGTATTTTCTTCAAAGAAACAACGCGGTTTGCCGGTTATTTTCGTATCTTGATGCATCGTTAAATGCCTTCAACGCATTTAAATATTTCAGAATGTATTAAGACATGGGAATAATTGAAAAATCGTGTATATAAAATCATAGTATATTTAGAAAATATTGGTATACTTATGTGTTTAAAAAAAAAAGAATAAAGACCATTATTTAGTGAAGTATTGTTAGTAAGAAAAAAAAATGCGCAGGATATAAATAATCCAATCGCGTGTACTAATTATAATTAAATTTATAGTAAATTCACTTGGATGCATTAGTACGCCCTGCGTACATTAAAACCGTTGTATAGTCATTTAATCTGAGTGAAAAAATAAAATGCAAATATTTCGAATTATAAAATACGTATTTTATTTAACAATACAATAAAGTGTGAGGATTTCACGATTTAATCGGTTTCTATATTTACATTAAATACATATCTTTCATCAACGACGGTTTTAATTTATGTATCAATCATACTGAGTACGTCCAATCGAATTCGTTATTAGATGTAGCGAAATTATTTTTTAATGAGATTATTTTAACTTGTTAGATCATTGGAATTATACGAAAGAGATCACGTAGAGAAATGAAAGAGATGTCTCATTGTGAATATAACGCCGTCTAGTTTGCCCCCTTAGGTTGTAAAAATAAGATCTCTCGCGGACAAATAAAAATTTGGACCTGAAAGGATTAGGCGCACGAGATACGTTTAATAGTCGGTCCAGCGGACCGTTAAGGCTGATCTCAAGAAGATGAGAGTACGACGTGCCTTTTCCGCCCAGAATGGCGACGGCGGGTAGGGCGGAAAAAAGGGAGAGCACCCTAAATCTCCCTCAGGATTAAGATTTTATTTTATCAGAACCTTTCTTAACGACCAAACGTTAAGTTTAACGCAATTCTTTTACGATGGCCGTCAGCCTTTACGGCGGAATCTGAAAACTCGACTGCTCCACGCGCCTATATGTATACATATATATATATACGCAGGTATAGACACGCCGCGTATAAGTTCATATCTGTATACACTACGGCGATATACGTTTACAATGTAACCCCGTGAAGCACCACCGTCCCGTCCTCGCGTTGCACGCGAACCGGAAACGACGATCTCGACATATATTTGTCTTACGAGTTCCCCGCTCGTGAAGAGGGATATAAAGTTTATATTACTTCTCGATGGCTCGCCTCTCGCGAAACTAGTTTCCGCGATCGCGTTCGGGGATTTCGCAGGCGACATTACGGACAAATTTTTTGCTGGTTTCAATTTAATTGCGCTTGTCGAGAGCGGCGGAGCAACGAGAAGAAAGAACATGCAAATGTATCCGTTCGCGATGGAATATATAAGCTAGCGCGAAGGGAAATTATCGCTTAATCATATATTAAAGAGAAATATACGATAACGGACATTTCCTAAGCATCGATCTATTTCTATTAGGCGAGCTATTTTTAAATCTGTATGTCATGACGACTTTTGATAGTAGGACGTAATTATTGCTTTTACGAATCGTTTTATCTAGACTAACATGTTATAAATACCGAACGTATAACCGCAATAAAATTCAAACCATGAGATTTTAATTGCTATAATCTTGTACTGATTATATCAAGCATCTATTTTTGTTAATATCATTTTAACAATAAGTACAATTGCGCATTCGCGCGATATAAATCTATTCTTGGAGACTAAAATAATAATGTTCATTTTTCAAGATGAGAATATTACTTATCACCAATCTGCATTAAAGTTTGTAGCCACCAACAACCGGGTCAGAGTGTTAAAAGTTTCAAGTCGCTATTTCAGTGTCGATGTAGAAAAATAGGCAAATTGTACAATGGCAAGGAAAATTACGTTCCTCCTTAAATATTCAACCATGCTTTTAGACCGTCGACCGTTACGTTATTTTTTTCAGTAGAAAGTACGCTTGCGGCGTCAAAATTTCATTATTCGCCGTGGACTATGATTTGCAGATGCCAGGCGGGTGATCTTTTTACGGAAAAATATCCCGTAGCCGAGCAGTGTGCGCATTCGGGCGTATAAAAGCATTGTAATAAAACGTGACGAACGTCAGGGGGAGGCTTCGTGGAAACCGACACTCGTCTGCGATATGATTGATCGATGTCAGTTTTCCGGACGAATCGCGATACGATACGATCCGCCAACCGCCGGTATCCATACCGCGTGTGTAAAATCATATACATATATCGGAAGACGAGGCGTTAAATACAGTCCATGCATGGCGTGGACTTTAGAGGTGCAAAATGAAAGGTGTCGCGAGCGTGAAAAATCAGTAATTAGAACGGTGAAGATAGGGTGAAAAATATTAAAAAGAAGAAAAGATATGAAATAGATATGAAGATATGAAGATAGAAAAGAATAAGTAATAAAAAAATTACTTAACGCGGAAAAAAGCTAAAGGAAAAGATAGAGAAAGAGACTAAAAGCACATTTCTATCGTTATCTTCACTTAGCGAGAGCCATTTTAAAATATCAAGATAATGCGAGGAAGAAAAAGGAAAGATTCATATAAATGGTATTTAAATTTTAATATAGGTATAAGAAAAAGCGTGATCTCGAACGTATTTGTCTCGATAAAAAATTACAGCACCATGAAATTGTTGCGGAAAATGATAAAGTGACAGATATATCACGCAGAACACGATAGGCGAAAATACTACAATATCTTGACCAAATATCGACAGTTAACGATACTCAATCACTATGCAATCGAATAAGTAAAAAAATCGTTTTCAACCTGACTGATGGTGATCGTATGTCAACGTATTCGAGATGCGCGCCGATGACCGGATGTTCGAAAATATTTGCTGAAGGATATATAGATATAACGTTAAAAACATAGCGTAGATCTGTCGTTGCAGCTGTTACCTCCGAATTAAAACGAAAAGTAAAATACTGGCCAATCGCATAGTGAATCGAGAGCAATTTCGCGATTACTCGGGGAAGGCGTAAACTATAATAAATAATCACCGTAACATCGTCTTCGTAGAGCAATGAAGTAATCGAGAGCGTCGCACTGATTATGAATAAAAAACACATAACAGCAAAGTTTCAGAATTGTCCATCGCGCCGCAGGGAATTTCCCTTGAAAACACGCCAGTGCATGCAATAGCATATAATGCAATATGCATTGCGGCATTGGCCGTTGTGGCATAAAAATCTGGAAGTAATCAAAATATCCGCATTATTGCGCCGCCTTTAAGAAGAAAGTGAAGTAATTTGCACGGAAAAAAATAGTTTTGTTGAAATATCTAAAAATTTGGGCAGATATAAAGATTTGAAAATAATTCTGTTGGACCATTAAAATGAGTTTGCAATACGTTACATAATCAATACATTATAATAACATAATGCAAACAGTTTTAACATTCAAGCAGTCAGTTTAAGTATTTCACATAATTATTTCGATAACCCAACAAAATTATTTTCAGATTTATATCTAGCATTTTTCTGAGACTTTATCTTTAAAAATATGTATTGAGAGAAATATTTCATATGATATATGTGACTTACAAAAACATTCTTACTTTTTAATTTAAAAATTTGATTGTTTTAATCAAAATTAAAATAACCAAATATTTATTAGAACAAAAATTTTTAATTAAAAAGTGAAAAAGTTTTTGTAAGTCACACGTCGTAACAAAACATTTCTCTCGACGTATTAGATCTTTAAAGAAACTGTTTTACAGAGTTTCGTCTTCCTACGATAAAAACTAAAATAGTCCAATATGAGCTAAATTGGCATGGACCCAAAAACGAACCATAACGATACCGCTCCTTTTTAAATGCATTGGCACAAAATTATTCTTTCCGTACGCGAGTATTAGTATTATTCTGAGAACAATTTGCAACTTGCGCAAATTCTTATCTTACATATGCCTGCGTTAATTATAACATGACAACGTTGTTATGATACATACGTAGTGTATCAAATTTAGTGTCGGATTCTCT